TGGTCCCGTCTCTTATCATCACTAGCCTAATAATTGATCCTTATGTGCACATCCTTATACCGATCACATTGGTATACTTTCAATGTCGTTACCATTTAGACCTGGTAATCCGGTCTCCGTCTCATAAAACATGATTTCAACACACACAAAAATTGTCATTTTACTCCCAACGCACACAAAATTTTCTCTTTCATCACTAAGACACATTTAAACAATGATATAAAATCATCCCACAAGTTTTCAAAATTCACATGTACTACAATTCACAATTGTAAAACTTTGAATTACAACCTCAAATATCAACACATTGGTCATAACTCGTGCCTGAAGGCACAATGAAATATAAAATTCAAGTACCCAAAAGTCGATCCTTCTATATTAAATTGTTTTAACATGTGGATACTATCGTATATGGATAATGTTTGAAATAAAAATTATGTTAAACTATAAATTAATTAAATATTAAATGATTAAACATGTAATAGAAATAAGTGATGTAATTTTTTAAGAGGAAAAATATATATGAGATAAAAATTCAAATTGCTATGTGTTTTTTTATATAGATATATCATATATATGAAATATCCACACACACGCATCCACCTTTTTAATATAAAAAATTCTCCCAAAAGAAGTAGTAAACTACTCACCTTAATTCCCGAAATTCAATTCAAAACCCTCTTTCCCAATCTCAATGAAATCACCACCTAAGTCAAAATAACATGTAACAATCAATCCATATTCCTAATTTTGTAATTTCAAGATTCTATATTTAATTTTCATACTTCTTACCCATTGGTAATTACTTTATATATCCTTTACATAGAAATAACATTTTTAATGTGAGATAATAGGGTATGGAAGTAATTTAGGTTGTTTAGAAAAAGTTTCTAAAGTTTGGGGTCAAATCATTATTTTTGAAACTTTTGGGTCAAAGTGTAATTTTTCAAAACTGAATTTTTTGTTTTCAAGAATATAAAATTCCCAAGAATAGTATTTAAAGCTATAGAGACCAATTTTTGATAATATAACCTTACTTTGAGCTATTATGAATAAATCATAATTTTGAGAACAAAATTTAAACTTTTTAAGGTCGTTTTAGAGTTTCAAAAACTTTCCAAGACTCGAGGGCTGATAAAGTTTGTTTCAAAACTATTGGGGTCAATCCTATAAATTACCAACTTAAACAGTGGTAAAAATTAAATTTATAAAACTATGGAGGTCAAAATATATCAATTATAATCAATAGGAGAAGTTTCTATAATTCTTAGATTTCTCCCTCTTCCAACATACGAAGTTGCAGCATTTGCAACTTCCTTCTTTCTTATTTGTTTTCCTTTTTTTTTTTTTTTTTTATGTTTTGCAACACATTGCTTAAACTCCATCAATTCCCAAAAACTATAAACTTTTCAACCTAATAACTTCAAGGTACCATAAGACCTATATATATATATATATATATATATATATATGAATGAAAGTATAAAACTCATAAGAAAAGTAATAAATGCATACCTTTAATTGATTCAACCCCTTTCTTTTGTCTTCTTCTTCATTTTTTTTTTCTCTCCCTCTCTTTGCGGCTAAATTTTTGTTCACTGGATAGGCGCCTCCACAAGCCGTCTCACCAAAACACTCTATCAAACCTAAATATATATATATATATATATACACACACACACACACGAAGAGTTTGACTTGTCCAACCATACAACCATATTTAAAACACATGTAAAATAGTCTAAGGTATTTCTAGGTTAAGACATTTATTAGAGACACATTAATCTTTTTTAATTATTTTTACCCTAATATATATAATTATTCCTAGGTAGTCAATGTACCAAAATAAAATAATTTTCTTTTTTTTGTATTGGTTATTACACTGGGGGGTCGTGCATACATGGTACCATGTACAAATAGGAGAAAATAAAATATAAAAGTGGGACAACTAAACTAATGGAACTAGGAAGAAACCCAAGCTGCGTAATGCACATAGATGTGTGGCCAAATTGGTGTAGCTCCTGTCAATGGGGCCTGGATTGATTTGATTTTCCTCTAATACATTTACAATATCTTTCCACAGTACTATAAGTTAAACAAACTCGCTGTATATATGTGGGGTCCAACATTCATACACGACTGAAAATCCAGCCAAGAAAAAAAATAAAAAACTCGAATAAGTGTATTAGAGATGGTGCATGTCAGTATTGAAACAAAGAAAAAGAGCTGCAAAGTGGATCTTGCCTATCTCCACTTCAAAACAAAGCTGAGGACACCTCAGCCAAAAGAAAACAAGTAGCAACCCAGATCTTGTCCTTCGTAGCAATCACTCTTCACTTTTTCTTCACCCAGTATAGCATCCATTGCACCAAAAAAGAAAACCGCATTCCAATCTAACTTAAAAGCATTGTCGTGTACCATAAAATGTACTCCATCAACCATGGGCGGCCCAACATATATTTAGGGGCTTTAGGCAAAAATTTTAGTAAAAATTGGAAGTGAGTTCTCCTAAATATACTTGTTTGAATATAAGTCCTGCAAGAAAATTTATAAAGAGTTAAGTCCATTTTTAAAATTATATATAATGACTTAAGTCTATTTTTTTTTTAATCTCAAAAATACCCTTCCTTGAAATGAAGTTAACATTTTCTCTCTCATATCTATCTATATCTATATATAGGTTAAAAATTTGACTAACATTAAAATTTTTCCTCTTATATATATAGTAACATTAAAAAAAATTTAACATTCAAATACAAAAAAAAAAAGTTACTATGAATTTGAATAGTATGTTATTATTTTTTTTATTATATTACTGTTCTATGTTACTGCTTTTGTTGAGTATGTTATTGTTTATGTACTATTATTTTTGAACATATTACTGTTTTTAAATATTAATATTCAATGTTACTATTTTTTTTTAAATATTATTATTTTTTGTATTTGAATGATACTATTTTTTGCTTTTGAATTTGAGAGAAATAACTATTGTTAAGTATGTTACAGTTTTTGTTAGGCATGTTACTATTTTTATTGAACATATTAATATTTTTGTTGAACATGTTACTGTTGTTATTTTTTAAAAATATTAATATTGAATGTTTCAATTTTTTTATGTTTAAATGTTACTATTTTTTTTGTGTTTTAAATGTATTATTTTTTGTGTCCAAATGATAACTTTTTTTGTATTTGAATGTTACCATTTTTTATTTTTAATGTTACTATATATATATAAGATAGAGAAAAAATTTCAATGTTAGTCAAACTCTTAATCTATATATGAATATAAATAGATATGAGAGAGAAAAGATTTTAATGTTAGTCAAATTCCTAAATCTTAAGAGTTTTTAATTTTTAGTTTTATTTTTCTTCTAAAGGGAAGGGATAGTATGGTAAAATTGACAAAAAACATATTTCATAACAAATAAGTTTCTTTGACGGACTTAAGTCCAAACAAGTCCATATAAGGGAACCGGCCTCCAAATTTTTCAAAATTTTAAATTACGCGCTATATACAATAATATAAATAATTGTCAAAAATTAAATTATTTAATATTTTTTGTTTTATTTTTTTGAGATTCAAAAATATTAATTGAATTTTTAAATTCAAGTTTTATACATTAAAATTCAATTAGCAAAAGTTGAATCATTGACCAAATATAATTAAGTTAGTTTTCTATTACAGATAATGAGAAAGAGAATGAAAATTTAAACTAACTAATAAAATGATTTTTTTTTAGAACAAATGTAAAAGTTAAAATTTGTGTAAGTTAAATGGTATTAGAATATGTGAAACATGTTCAATATTGCAGAGAACCATCGAAATATTGACTAAGAAATTTTAGAAAGACAAGTATGGTTATAATTAGTTTCAGATAGTGAAATACTTCTACTCACTTTATTCTATAGTTATTTTTATACGCTTTAAAAAAATAATTAAGCAAAAAATCTATCCTAAATTTAAAGTAACCTCAAATTTAATCTAAAAAAATATAAAGTTATAATTTATAACTATTAGTCGATAAACAATGAATTATACAGTTTTTTTTTTTTTTGATAATGAGATAGAAAAATATTTTATTAGGTGATAACACATATTTTTCATACACCATAACCATTGGACAAAGATAAAAATCATAAAGCACGTGAGCTCAAATTTTAAGGCCCTAAATGTTTTTGTAAGAAATTTTAAAAATTTTACAATATTATTACTTGTATTTAATCTAGGGACCTAATTTTGACACTTAATAAATTATGGTTATTTAATTTTTAGTAAACTTATTCAATGGTTTTTTTTTTCTTACTAAGTTAATGATAAAAATGCATTAAGTTCTCTAAATTAAACCCAAAAATTAAGTCTAATAAAATTGTATAAAAATTTAATTTGGGACTCCAAAATTAAATTGTCCCATTTGAGGGCCCCAAGGCAATGGCATTAATGGCATGGCCTAGTGCATGGGCCGGCACCATCAACATAACCTTAAATTAGATGGTTAGTTGATGTACTTACTTAAATGGACCATAAAATGTTTGGTATCCATCATGCAAATTAATTAAACGAGTTAAGATAAATTGAAAACATATGCCTACCAAGATAGAATTTATGTAGGTATTTGTCCAAGACCATTACTAAGCCTACCAACACCACACACACGAACACAACCTCTATTGACATGCCTTATGCGACATAAACAGCATTGAAGCATAAATGACTTTTCCTTTTAACAAGGAAATTTTCACAAACAAAACACACATTTGTACGTATTTTCAAAACACACCTTTGTACTTATTTTCTGCCTAGTATATTTAACTTTGAAATCTTACAAGATTCACCAGCTAGCCACAACTATGGCATGCCACCACAAACATCATAGCAGAGTGATAGAATTACTACTTTCACATTCCCACATAGACAAGATAGACAAACCAACCTAAAAGCATATATGCAAATACGGCCCAACATTTGCGACATTTTATTATATATATATATATATATATCTTCATGGCTCTTTTGGTGTACCGAAGAACACTTCTGACACCACCTTGGCTCCCCTTCCTTTGGCCATGTAAAGGCCTATATGATGCATTAGATCCTGTGGCAGAACACCGAAGAATGCTGACTAACGATTAAATTTGTTGAGAAACAGAAAAAAGGGATTGCCTAATTTTAGAAGAGCAAAACAAGACACTGTTTGGGATATAGTTGTTTAATAGATTTGTGGCATCTGAAATTAACACGTCACTAGCGAAGTTCACATGAAATGACGGGGAGAGTTCAAAAGAAAAAGACATGGGGAAGAGGTAAAAGGATCAGGCCTCTCTCATGGTAACTCGTGTATGCTGCATAAGATATTTAATTCATGTTAGATAGATAATTGTGAATTAATCGAGAATCCCATCATTCAAACATACTATGTTGCAGGACTCTGACTTCCTAAACAGTTTATCCAAACTTTTAATATCAATGGGTAGTTGCAGGAAATCAAGTTTACATTCCTTTTGCTCAAAGGAAAGCATTGCTGAAACTTTATTAATCAGTTGCACTAAATCATTTGATGAGTCCACATCTTTCCAAATTTTGTATCCTTCTAAACAGAAGTTTCTAAACAAGATAATAATGAATTGTTTCCGCTGGGCAGGGTTTTGTGAGATGGAATCACTTGCTTGACCCCTACGGATTTGAGTTCCAGTCATCAATGCTAGAAACAATTCCAAAATCTTTTCCAGAGAATGTTTGTCTACTGCACAGGTTCACTTTTGAATTTTGATCCCACTTAAACTACTACTCTCTTCACTGTGCATAAGCTTGTAGATAAAGAATAAGCTCTTTGATGCAATTTAAAAACGAAGTCAACCAAATTGATTATCGTCTTTGCTTCTAGTATTAGTATTTGCTTCTTTGTTTATACTTGGGTAGGGAGCTTTTGTGTCCAAGAATTGCGTTGTGAGGACAAGAAACCCACAAGTGGGTAGCTTCTAACTAATGATGAGGATGCCTACAAATTCACCTTAAAAAAAAAAAGGCAGCTGTGTAATAAAACAGATAAGAATACCAAATTCACCCAACAAAAAAAAAAAAAAAGACCATGTCAGTTATTGAGGATGAAATAGGATGTGAAAAAGTTAAAAAAAGTTGATGGAGTGTGGACAAGTAGTGCTGCCTAAGGCATGGATCTACACCTCATAAATTAGAAGAGTTTTCATCCCAACCATCTGCTTACTTGCCAATCCTGAAGCATTTCTTCACAGTTCTAACTAAATTGTAACCATACTCTAGTCCGATTGAATCCAGTCCAAAAAAGAACAAAAGTCTCACTGAATGAAACCAAGCGTTATCATCAAGCAGCTACATATACCATGACACCTCTCTTATGTCATGCTGTAATCAATGCATTTGACATCTGTTTGATTATGATAGTTATGCATAAAGCTAGTAAGGGTGCAGATGTATGCCATAGGATCAACAAAAGATAAAATTTCCACATAAAGTACAATTGCTGAAGCTCCAGTAAGATCAATTTACCTGTGGATGAGCTAAAGCACCTTTGATGCCTCTGGCAACGTCAACTGGAAGATCAAAAGTAGCACATCCTCGGGAATACACAACCACATCCTCCAGAGGCGTGAGAAAACCACGATTTCTTGCTGAGAGTGCAGAACACACAAAATCTAGCACGCATACGTCCGTGCATATCCCTACAACTAACACCTGGAAAAACAAAATGGTAGGCCACACAAGTGTTTATGCCTTTGATTGCGATGCAATAGAAGTTCAGAACTTGAACATGTGACCATTCTTTTCCAGAAGTAATTAAATAGAAGAATCGAATTTGGTTGGTCAGCTTGGGGGGAGGAGAAAATACTTACAACTTTGATTTTGTTTGTTTTCACCCAATCCACAAAGACATTGGAGCCATCTTTCTCAAGTGAACCAAGAAAACCATCGATGCAATCCTTGCACCTAAGTGTTACATTTGGTTCATTTTCCAACCATTGAAGATCTGCATATTATTGGAAGAGACCAACATGATATAACAAAAGTAAAAAAGACTGATACAATCAATAAAAGATATTCAGCAAGTTCAGTGCTAATACAGAAATTCCGAACAAAACACCTGTATTACCTGGCACCAATTTTGATTCATCGGTTCCAGCTATACAGTGAGGAGGATACGGGGGCTCAGGGATATCTGGATGATGAGAATCAAGGAAAGCAAAAATAGGCCACTTGTTATCACAGAAAACTCTGGCAAGCTTCACTGACTCATCAACCATTCCAGAAATTTGTTCGTCGGGCACTCTTGGAGCCTGTAGAGAAAACAATTCCAATAAACATGAAATTAGCATGCAAAAATACCAAACATTATTGAGATTAAAACTTTTAAACCAAATGCTAGTGATTGGTTCAAGAAAATAAAGAAACAAAAAATTAAGTGAGAAAACTTCTCAACATCAGGGCCATCGAAGCAAAATAATAATGGTAAAGAAAAAAACTTCAAGTGATCTTGCTCTGAATGACAGATGCAACAAGAAATTCTGAAAGAAAGAACACTATCGAGAACAAAAAAGAAGCTTCATAGGTAAAATATATTCTGATCTCAAGCTTTATATTGTTTAGGCTTTAAAAAAAATCAAATACGGCAGCATTTACAAAGAATTACCAGATTTTCTGTTTTTCTTGTTTGCTTTATTAGAAAATTCAAAAATACCAAGTACACACAGAGGACAAAATTACTTGTCAAATGGAGGACAAAAGGGCAGAACAAAAATTCCAAATATCTAAATTTTGTCCGCATAGAACAAAACCACCACCACTAATCTAAACTCAGGTGGCGTACAAGGATTCACATTTTCATCACTGGAACCAAATAGCAAAATGCAAGAAACATATAATCAGCACAAATTTCTTCTAATCAATTTTCTTTTACAAGAAAAAGGATAAAAAGTCGAAGCGTGTAATCAAAAACAAAAGATAAATAGTGAAACCGAGAACAAGGATAGAGAGAGAGGCATATAGATAACAGAACAGATTTGTAAAATACCAAATTGCCAGCGCCGACGGTACAGAAGCCATTAACGATGTCGACGAGCACGAGACCGGTCTTAACGTCGCCAGAAAAAAGCAGAGTCTCCTGCTCCACCGGAAGCTCATCCTTCAACAGACCAATGGTCTGCGACACCATTTTTTTTTCCTTCCAATTACGAGCGGAGAGAGTCAACAATGGCGTGCGACTTGGAGGAGATATTATTATTATGACCACAGAAACAGCATTAGCTCGGGATATTACTAGGAAGGGACGTGTATAACACTGTTACGGGATTAATTTAGTAATTAAAAGAATAGATATAAAAAAATAATAATAATAATAATAAATTAAAGAAAATAAAAATAAATATTTGTAAGGTAAAAGCAGTGCCACCTGATAATTTAATTTACACCTTAGAAAATGTTGGAATTTCTCCGTAAGAAGAATGAAATAATACTTTGCTCTAATGGACACGGCAGGTCCCGTACAACAAGCAAGCACTTTACATACAACCTGCACCACTATAGCCACTCAGGCGTGCAATTCCGGCAATTGAGAGATGAATCATAACTCAATCTAAACTCTAGTTTGACCACGATTTGAAGTACTCAACCTGCGTACTGCCAAAGTAAAATTCAGGTTAATTTTGAGTTGGGTTCGAATTATTTAATTTAAATTAATTTTAATTTAGAATTTAAATTGAATTCATTAAAGTGAATTATGAAATGTGAACCTTAATTATAAGTTGTGCTATTGAATTTATTGATTTATATATTTATTTTTTAATATGTTCGGGTTGAATTCAATTTATATATTTTGGTTGAACTCAGTAACTCGATGTTTTAACTCAAATATTGTCCGAATTTAATTCGAATTAATATTTTTTAGCTCAAGTCTAACCTAAATATTAAAAATATCAACCCGACCTTATTTTTTATAAATTAAGTTTGGGTTAAATTCGGATTGACCCATTCAAATTGCACCCCTAATTCTAACCCCCACCCCACTTTCGCTTGTTGGTAGAAGCTAAGGTTTTATATGTTCAAATAATTTCTTAACTTTTTTATCTCAATTTTGATTTTCCAACTCACTTATCCAAGGACTTAAAAAGTCAATATTTATATAATAAATTAGTTTATTATTTAAATTTCAAAAGATAAACAAAATAATTTTTACTTTTTGCGGTTCAGATCACTTTAAATTTTATTTTAAAATTAATTTAACGGCTAATATTAACACTATAAATTTAATATGAAAAATAGGCTCTAAAGGTATGTTTGGAGTGACTTTTTAAAAGTATTTCTACGAATTATTTTTCATAAATACTTTAAAAAAAATAGTGTTTGAAATTGTCTCATCACTACTTCTACTATCGCCGCCGCCGCCATTACACAATCACGATCACCGCCACCACAATCATTGACACCCACCACAACCATCACCGTCTCCTACCACCACTACTGTCGCTCACCACCTCTCACCCCCACTATAACCAATATTTAAATTCATTTATTTTTCCTCTATGTTTGTAATTTAATTTTGAATATGAATACAAATAAAAAAATATTTACCAATATGCCTTACATTGAAATATGCAAGTCTAAATTGTATTATCACGTTTTACCCAAAAAAAAAGGATTGGGTTATTTCTACCTCACAATTCTCCATTTTTATTCTATTTAATTTTTTATTATCAAACTACTAACCTCACCTCTTTTATATCCTCTCCGGTAGTAACTAAACTCACCTCATATTACATACTCCCCTTTTAATAAGTAAATTCACTTTATATTTTATCATAATTAGGGTTTCATTCTCTATATCTTCTCATGCACTCACAAAAATGTGTTTTCAATATCAATTTTTCCAGTGAGATACAAGTTAATATTATTTCTCAATTTAATTATATTTTTTATTTCATATTTGTTATATGAATTTTCATTATTTTCGCTATGTTTTGATCTCTCTGTCAAGTTTCATAATTTTTTAGCTAGAACTTATGTGTGTGTGTGTGTGTGTGTGTATATATGGTCAGATTATTTGTTCTTTTTTATCTTGTTAAGATTTTGCATTTACATTTGTTATTTTTTTTTATTCGATTTTAAGTCTGTGCTTAATCCTTATTTTTTTTCATATCCGATTTTGCGTCTTATAGTTTTGTTTATTTCTATAATTTTTACTTGATTTTTGTCCTTCTTGTTTTGGTTTGCTTATTTCTTTCTGTTTTTTTCCTTATTTCGTTCTTTTCTTTTCTTTTTCGGTCTGCGTCTTTCTCTTCTTTTTTTTTTCTTTTTTTTTTCTTATTTCAGCATGCTTGGTTTTTTTTATTTGTTTCAGTTTTTATTCTTTTTTTTTGTTTCATAAATATATTTATGCATTTAAACTAATTTTCTTTTTTTATTATTTTTTTCTTATTGATGATGCACAAAATAGTCTCGTACAAAATCAACAGTCGAGTAAGTGATGAAGTATAATTAATGGACAATAAATAAAACAATCAACACAGTAATGTAAAAATTGAGTCAACACACAGATATATTGTGATTCGGTATAGGTGACCTACTCCACTCTAAAAAACAGCAACAGTGGTGAAGGGTCTTTATAGATGAAATAAGGTAAATGAGGGAGAGAGCAATAGTTAGCTCTGAGGGAGATACAATAGCTAAGAGAGAGAAAAGTTTAGTGTGTGTAGAGAGGTGTAGAAGTAAAGCTCAATGTGTTCTCTCATACAGAGAGGACTTACAATTTATAGTCGAAAGACATTGGTTAAAGCGATGACTTGGGGGGGGGGGGGGGCAAAGGTACTAATTTTTCGAGTGTCTACAAAAAGTAATTGCCATAAAAAGTTGCTTTGATCTTTGAGAGGGAGTATCCCGATAATTACTCCTCATGTACTCTAATTCTTCTTGAACTCTTTGGAACTTGAGTTGGGTCGGATTCGTGAATGGGCTTGACCGGCCTTTTAGTTGACTTTAGCTAATTGGATTTATTGGGTCTAGTCCAATTAAATTTGGGCTCTTCACTTATGATGATTTTTTTTTATTAGGGGTGTACATAAAATGAGTGAGTTTAACTATTAATGAGGTGTATGCAGCATGAGGTGGGTTTAGTTACTAATAGAGTGAGTATAGAATGAATGAGTTTAGTAGTTTGAGAATGAGAAATTAGATGAGGTGGGAATAGAGATTTGTGGGATGAGAATAGCACCAACTAAAAAAATTATATTATCATGCAAACATCATAAATACAAAAACATTACTAATAATAGTGGTAAAAATAATATAAAATTAAAAAATAATCAAAACATTGTTAAAAAAAATTAGAACTCCTTTAATTGTCGTATTAGAAATTGATATATTGGATTAATGAATTCAGTCTAACACAATATAGATGGACAAAAGGTAAAATTAAATAGAGTCACCTTATTTTATCTAATTATTGACAATGTAATAGTTATTTAGTTCAATCTCTTGTTTGATTAGGAAATAATTTCATTGTATTGAATTGACAAAAATACTTTCGATCAGTTCTATTATTTGACAATATCAACAACATGAATGGGATCATAATCCCTCCTAAATTGGCACGAACGTTAAATTTTTTATTAAACCATGCAAACTAGTTGATTCAATATCTCAACCATATTAATAACATCATCGTCATCATTCTCTGCTGGAACATCAATAATTTCATCCTCCACTTAGTCTAATGTCATTTCTGTCCTAATTAAATTATAAAATAAGTAATATGTTGATATGATTCGATTATGGGTCTTGACTAGGTACCACAAAAGACTAGTAAGAGTTGTCCAACGAAGCTTAATCCTAGTATGCCGGACTGGGATTTCAATTATGGTGGGTCCCAGAACTCGGTGGGTGGCAATGTCATTGTCCTTCTTGTTGTATTTGTAATTGGGATTTTGTTTTCAATGGTAACAAGCACCTCGTTGATTGGGCTATCTCACGTCGAATAGTTTTGGGTGTGTGTATTAATATAAATATCTCACTTGACACTTTCTCTTTTAAGAGGTTGTTTTAGGTGTGTGTTCAAAAAACAAGCACCTCGTTAGTTATACGATTATTCTTTTAAAAAAAGTATAAGAATATTTCCAGCTTCCACCATTTTTGGGTGGAGGTCACACCTCAAACCGAGGAGCCCTTGACTTTTCCAATTAGATTGATTGCGATGGTTTGTTGTTTTGTGCGTTTAATATTTTTTTTAAATTGAGAAACGTTAGATGAATTTATAAAATAGATTTAATAATTATAATTATTAAATAGCTTGTGGGTCGCATTAATTGTTGGGATCCATATTGAATCAATAAATATAATTATCAAGTCTATTTTTTAAATTTATGTAGCATTATTCTTTTTTATTTTTAGTGATTTAATCTTTAACTATTGACAATTTCATTGACAACAAAACCATGCATTTATTTTTATCAAATGAATTTTATTTTTCTCTAATTTTTAAAAAAATGGAGATATTGTAATTCCTTTAGAAATGCGAAGATCGGTCCATGTTAATATAAATTTTATCTTTTTTAAAATACTACAAAAAGTATTTTAAAATTAAAAGCAGACTAATGTTGTGTTTAAAATGACTTATAAAATTTAAAAAATGCTTTGTAAATAAGGCTAGTGGACCATAATTTTTGTGGGGCAAATCACCGTAGACTGACACATAGACCAGCTAATGATCAATCTGTCCGGCCTGCTGCTTTGGTTGTTGATCGCCTGTTACTTTTCTGCGAGGCCATTGGGACTTTATCCACTATCGTCACCCACCGCAATCACCCATTGTCACCAATGTGACACACACCATCATCATCCAAAAATTTACCACCACCAACAATCATTACCCAAAAATCTACCACCCCACAATCACCACCATTCACCATTACCACCCCCACCATCATCCATCACTGGCACCATCGCCACGAATTCCCGCCACTAATTCCCACCACCGCCCAACACCCACTCACCATCATCACCACCGCCACAATCATCCACTATCATCACCCACCACTGTTATAGTCACCATCCACCTCTACCACCACCCACCGTCATCACCATTGCAACCACCACCTATCATCGTCGCCAACCATAACCACCAACCATGATGGCCAACCACGACCATGACCACTCAAAACCTAT